GGTTTTTGATAGCAGCATTTTATTGACAAACAGAATGGGATAATTTCGTGGCGCGTGACGGAATTGATAGCAGCATTTTATTTTCAAACAGAATGGGATAATTTAGTGGCGCGTGACGGTTTTTGATAGCAGCATTTTATTTCCAAACAGAATGGGATAATTTCGTGGCGCGTGACGGTTTTTGATAGCAGCATTTTATTGCCAAACAGAATGGGATAATTTCGTGGCGCGTGACGGTTTTTGATAGCGACATTTTATTGACAAACAGAATGGGATAATTTCGTGGCGCGTGACGGTTTTTGATAGCAGCATTTTATTGCCAAACAGAATGGGATAATTTCGTGGCGCGTGACGGTTTTTGATAGCGACATTTTATTGACAAACAGAATGGGATAATTTCGTGGCGCGTGACGGAATTGATAGCAGCATTTTATTGCCAAACAGAATGGGATAATTTCGTGGCGCGTGACGGAATTGATAGCAGCATTTTATTGCCAAACAGAATGGGATAATATCGTGGCGCGTGACGGTTTTTGATAGCAGCATTTTATAGTTGAACAAAATAGGGCAATTTTGTGGCGCGTGACGGTATAGTTGACAGTAGAAAATGGCCAGATATATTCACTTGTTTATGAAATAGTGATAACATCACTGTGAAGATATAGGTGTAGGATAAAGGTGGTCGCTAGCCCAGTGTAGTTAGTGAATGAATTGATTTCGCGCCCGATAGGGAGAAATTTTCGAAAAAAATTAGAAATTTCTGAGAAAAAATCGCTTTTTTCGAGAATCAAGAAAGCTGTAGTTTTTTTCGGTCGGAAATTTGGTGAGGTAATTACGGTTTTATGTTCAGCTTCCATGACGGTCGAGCCGGGTATGTCTGCTGTGGCTGAGCATGCGTTGGATTTGGGTCTAACGCGCTCTGAGGAATTGCAGAAATTGATAGATTGGCAAGCTGTTGAGGGAAAGAAGAAATATGATGCTGTGGAAAGAGACCCTAGGTGGGCATTTGGTGGAGAATGTTATGGAAGTTGTTATTGAATATCACACGACTGAATGTTTTCGCGACCTAGAATTGAACTGGTGATGTGCCAGTTTTCGAGTGACAAGTTTTTATTTGTAGAAAAATGTCGGTGAAGAAAAAAAACTTTTTTTGTCAAAAGGAGTAGAACGATGTAATTCGCGAAATGTTATATTGGAGTTTCACCCGTGATGCGAAAAACACTAGTGAAAAACACATTTCACATTTCACATCGCGAATATCACGTTTTTCACGTGGAGTATTACGCCACTTCGCGTAAAACGGGTGGTGAAACTCCGTTGCGGATTTGAATCAGTGGGTTCATAACACTCATTCGACTTGCGGTCTGTGGAAGGCTTAATTTTGTAATTTCTCAGACACAGTGCGGCGCTTGATGGGTCGAAGTGTTGCTGGGAATTGCTGCCAATGAAACATCATTACTGTCCGGGAGTAGCGGACAAAACTGGCATAATGAAAACGGCTCGAGAAACTATTGAAGTGAATTCCTTCCCGAAGGCGCTGGCCGGCTTGTGTATGAATGTGGAGGAGCAGGAGGAGGAAGAGGGAGGACAAGTTGCACTGCCGTGTGTGCTTCGGTGAGCTAGGGATAATTTTGTGGCGCGCGGTCATTTTCGGTGGGTAATTTCTGGTTTGAAGTGAGCCGAGGAGGAGTTGGTGAGGAGGATTTTTGTGGCGCGCGGTCAAGTTCTCAGAATTGGAATGTGCTAGTGAAAATGGTATAGTTTTGTGGCGCGCGGTCAAGTTCTCAGGATTGGAATGTGCTAGTGAAAATGGTATAATTTTGTGGCGCGCGGTCGTATCTAGGCGCTGATTGATTGACAGTATTTGGCCATGGCAGATATTACAACGATCCTGTAGTAGTCGCCATGCGGGATGAACGCAAGAGGGCGAGCGAAAAGAACAGGGAAGATTACGTTGGTGTTGAAGATGAAAATGAAGGTGAAGAGGAGGAGGAGTTCTTTGAAGCTGCGGCCAATGAAGAAATGGGCGATGATATGCCGGAGGGTAGCTTAGCGGAGCGAAGCGATTTTTGTTTACAAGTTTTTGTATTTTTAGATGAGGAAGAGTCAGAAGATGAGGCTCTGGCTGCGGCGCTTGCTGAGGAGGAGGATGAAAGTGAGGAGGAAGATATGGGCGACTTTGATGAAGATGGTAAGATGAATATTCGTGCGGGAAGTCGGATGATTTAATTGTATGATGGTTCATACCACACCTTGCGCACCTCATCGGGCCATACACCCTGTCCATCCTTGGGTCTGTGCGTATAAAGTATAATATATGTGATAATAAATATATATAATATATATAATATAGTGTGATATATAACATTATATACTGTTTATAATATACGCTATATTCGTATATACGCATAATTGCTAGCTCACATACAGTATACAAGATTTAAGACTAGCTGTAGACTTGATGTCAAACGGTATAGCATGTTTGTGATTACCGCAGTAGTTATCAAACGCAGCAAACATTCTGAGAGGCGTGCGACTAGTTCTGTTCGAACGAGGCTTGATATATATAGGGCTTGATATGGGACCATTTGTGGCAAAACGTTGAATCACGCGACTTTAGACGGAAAAATACTTTTTTTCAGAGAGACTCTCCGTTGTGCGAAATATTCATTCATTACCGCAGTGAATTGCCTTAGCGTCTACTGAAGTGTTTTATCTACTGATTGTCAGATGAGGCCGCTTTCGCTGCTATGGATGGTATTGGCGCCGACGAGGAAGAGGCAGAGAAGGAGGAGGAGGAGAAGGTAGCGCTAATATCGCGGCATCTGTTCAGCATGATTTTAATCTGAGGCTGCTAACTCGTAGGGTTGATTGTATACCGTGTGAGCTTTGACCTATCATTGTGAGTGATAATAGCGCTATACGTGTGATAACAACCAAACCGTACGCGCATAAGAACGGATGAAGGAGGAAAGGAATAAAAAATGACAATATGAAAATTCAAGTGTATACTACGCTTGCGATCAATCATTATCAGTAATCAATGTGCATCACCGTGATGTCATCACGCATTATCGAATGACTTGACAGTTTCAAGTGTTGAAATTAAAGATTTCCATCCGTATGATAATCAGGTTGTTGATTCCCCCTCATTTAAGAAGTCGAAGAACCCTCGCAAGCGTCTCCGCGAGCTCATGGCTGGCGGTACATTTGTGTCGGCTGATGAGGTCGCCGACCTCATTGCTGCGGACAGCAAGAAAAGTCGTCATCGCCGATAGTCGCTACTTCGTCAAACGTTTACCAACACGTCGAAAAGATACGCTTATTACCTTGGGTGTGTTTGCGTTGATATATACGGTTAATCTTCGGAAATGGAAAAGTTCGGAAATCAGTAAATTGAAACTATACGGTATAGTCCGTACCTAGTTTGCAATATCACACAAGTAGACACAAAGCTTTGTCCCCGTTCCAGACGTTCCTAGCTGTATCCGTTTTGAATCTTTATCCTTTCCTGAGGATTATTTACCTCTGGTCGAGTTACATAATAGTGCAAGTTAGAACTGGACTTCCTTCAGCCTGCCGAGCAGTTTACGCAACTCCGCACTACACGAATAATCTGGGGGAATCTCGAACTTTTAAACTCGAAGCTCTGGAGATGTGAAATTACAGTAATGGAGTCGCTCAGGAATATAACATCAACTTCTTCTTCCACACCACCTCGGCAAGAAGATATCGATGATACTCATGATATGAATGGTTCCACCTCCTGAAAGCTAGTACTATACGTGGGAACACTTCCCACGTATGATAGTGACGTCCTAGAGAGCTGAATATATGATGTTATCGCACATTCAGTTTTAATGGTATCATCTTGATGATGATACTTGCTAATCGAATGATCTCGAGGAATCTTGAAGGTTGGTTGCCGCAGAATCGTCGGCCTATATAATATGAATTCTAGACTCTAAGAGAGACAGGCCCCACAGTCTGAATCTGCAGCACCCTAACCGCGAAAGTATCTTCAATTGGTCATTGTAGTTGAGCTGCTAGAGCTCCAACGTCCTGGAGGGCTCTCAAGAGCATTATCAGTCCCTCGCCCATAGGAACAGGTCCGGGGAGCTACAAGATGGGAGGGCACGATGCATTGGGACCAGACAATCGGTGAAATCTCTGGCGACCAACCGAATGCTGAGTGAAAAGAGAGACTCTTATCGTCTCTCCAAGACCACGAGCAGGGATTGGTGGAGTCTTGAGCACACTCTTTAGTTTCGCCACAGATTTATCACTCAACCGATAAAATCCTCGAGCAAACTGGATCCCTACACAGCCAACTTCCTCATTGGGCAGGAGATTCTTAGGAGAGATGAACTTGTCAAAGCCAAATCAACCCGTACGAACAATGCGGTCTCTAGTTCTCATCTGGGCGAGAAGAGAGCGATGTATTAAGACATCACGTACCCACGCTACAAGCGAATGATGCCTCTAGACAATGCAGGTCTGAAGCAGGGTTCCCGATTTCCACCATTTCCATAAATTTCCGCGAAAATGTTTCCGCGGGATTCTTCAAATTTCCGCGCTTGACGAAATTCCCATTTTTAGCGGAAATTTCGGAAACTTTACCCTAAAAACTCCATTTTTGGGTCTTTATTAAACAGACATGTCTTCATGCTACCCTAAGGCTTGAGGAGCCTCATATATACAGTGTGTCGGAGCTGATTTTTTTTATGGTTTCGATTGTGCACACAAAGTACAAGAAAACCCGTGTTACGGGACCCCGTGAGAGGGGCCAAGTGAATCCTATGTCAGCGACATTCAGGCTATCGGAGCCTCCGACTCGGAGGTATATCCAAATTTAGGTTTCCTGAAACCCTGTCATTTCGGAGTAGGATGCGATCCCTGAGCTTGAGGAACTTCAATCGCCAATCTCGGGAGACGAAATACTTGTCTACACGGCGAACCTCACACAAGGATTCGATAACACCGAATATGATATTCGTTCTTGCAATTGGATTTTATACCAAAATCGAATAAAATTTATATTAAACTCCTAGCAGAATACATCGGGTGCAGAAACGTCCCAGAGAACTCGCCGCAACTGACTTCTCTGTGAAAGTTGGGTAGCAAAGCATGCCTGCGAGGTGAAGCTTTCCCTGCATTAGTCGATCTCGTTGATGGTCGCACTTAACTAGCAGAGAGTGACTAGAGCTACCGGAGGAACTATGGTGGGGCGATTGGGCAGCTTATATGAGAATGTGCTTCTGCTGCCTGTCGGATAGGGTAATGACGAGGAGGAGAGATAATTCCCTTGGACCGGTACTCTACTTACCACTATTTCTACTTTTGGAGGAGTTACTTGTGAGCTTCCAACAGGAAGAAGGAGGACGACGTACTTTGCCTTCGATATAGCACGGCCGACGTGCTGCTGCCGCAACTAATACATCCTTACTTTCATCATTCTCATTCTTTTGCTCTCCGGCTACGTTATCATTGGGACTGTCCGCACTAGTACCGGCAGGTCTTCTCCAGGCTTTGGACTCGGTTTTTTTGGACTCACTTTCAAACATTGAGTGAAGCAGTCAATCTTAGAGTGACTTGGCAACGTGGTAAACGTGTTAAAATAACTTCCCACCAATCTTGAATGTGGAAGGCTTCTCCAAAACACTTGGACACAGATTCGATCTCTAGCATCTGCCGCCATGTTAGGGAATGCCAATCAATATATTTCCGTGGTCGAATATTCACAACAGCATTCCACAACATTCGATGCAATACTGGACTTGTTCAACCAATTGAGAGTCGATGCCATCGATTCTCTAAATTTGTACACGGGTATGTCTCAAGTCGTGGCCTACCTGTAGTACAGGTAGGTAGTACTGGCAGTACGGGTTCTGTACCAGTAACGGCAGCTGTTGAGACATAGATCAATACAAGATTATTACAAGTTATTATGGAGATACGCTTGTAGCTTTACGATACACTATTGTGGAAGATTCCTAGTAGGAAAGTGACAGTGATTTCCGCAAGGTTTTCTCCGAATTTCTATATCGTCACTAACGCACGCAGTTAACCATTTGAGCATTAAACAACATTGACTCGGAACGTTATTAGAATTTCTAAGAGGTCTATTTTGATATATACTCCATTATCGAGCTCGTCACCTATGTTCTATGTATACTTCGACGGTTAAGCGACTTGAGTTACACCAGTACTGTCATACGTCTGCCTCCAAAGGTCCACGAAATTGCCATAGCGCAGAGGTCCGAGGTCCTCTATCATGACTACGATGAGGAGGATGTCTGCTCCCTCGTCGGCCCGTCGAAGCCTCCCAGGAAGTGAGCCCGCCTAGTGCCCTCGACAGTCTCCTATCGTGCTGCGAATGTCGTGTCTTCACGGTGTGGGGTCACTGTGTTCGAAGTCTCGAATAGACAATCGAGTGTTATTGACACGGCCTAGGTGCTGCTGCAGGATCAAGCACCTCTGACGTCTCTCCGAGAGCGTCTCGTTCCAGGAATAGCAAAGTGAGAAAACTGGAGACATTTCGGCTTTTTTGCTGAGCTGATTTTCGACTATATACAAGGAATGTCGTTTTGGAGGAGCGCATGAGGAGGTCTGCCTTTGCGGAAGGAAGTGAATGCTGATCACCTCTTTTGAAAGTGTTGCCTTTCATTCCTTAACTGCGTTGCATTTCAGTGCATGGTGTCTGAACTTCGACAGCTGAAGAATGCTTTGTCCATACGCGACCTCGAGCTCTGCGAGCAAGCGAGGTGATCGAATGATTCGATTCACCGCGAGTGCGACTATCCATTTGTATTTCTTGACTCGAGATACGCTGGAATGTCCTCCGCCGCTGCCACAGCTGTGATAGCATCGGTGATCATGAAAACAGCTGAGTTGAAGGACGATCTGAGAATGGCAATGTTTGAGGTGGGCCGGATCGTTCTCGGCGAATCGAGACTAGGCTCAACTAGCAGCGGGATCCACTCTCTTGTATGAAACCGTTTGAGCCCAAAGTTGGAGGATATTTCATACCAGAAATGCCATGCTCTCTGAGTGTACCAACTCGACGAATGATGCAGAATTGATGACTGTGAACTATCATCAGAGTTAGCTAATGGAACCCCTGTTTTCTCTGAGCTTGGCACACGCCGAATTCACGAAAATCAAGCATCGCAAAGCGAGATGGTTATCAGTGTTGAGTCCAAGTGCGATGAGATCTTATGTGGCTCTGTAAACGCTACTTTTTTCGAAGACGACAGTCTCCCAGCTAAGACTGGTAAATACAGGCAGTTCCGACGTGCTCAGTCCCAACTATGGGCTCAGTATGTTGAGATCCAACGTACTCCACTTGCGTCAAACTTTAATCTCTGAACCCGTCTCCGGTCCGTTTTCAACTTGGCTGGAATGTCCCATACCACAGTGATATGACCTTTTTCAGGTGAAAAACCTTCAGCTAGCAGCGAATCCCACAGGTGAGCAACAAGGATGGGGTACTGCAAAGGAACTCTGTAGATAAGGAGCTGTCGAAGCTGTCTCTTGAAGAAGAGATTGAAGCTCTGCAAACCCAGGTACAGTACCGATGCACTTGTTCATCACAGCATGCAACGGTGCCCACGTGACTTGACAGTTGCAACCTGCAAGCTGCTATCCCTGGACGGTGGTCCCAGACCACGGGTCTGTGAGGAATATCTTTCACTAGAACGCACTCAGCTTGAGGCTTCAGCGTCTCAGCTTTGAGCTGGCGCGGCTGCACTTTCCGAGTGCTCCGTCTGAGCTTCATAGTCTTCCACTTAGAGAGAGGCCCTCGAACAAGAGCTCCGTCTCATGAAGGATACGATTAGAGATCATCTCGACGATGGCAGAGCCGCTCCTCGGTGAAAGAGAAGGTTCGGCGACCTCTGATGAATCCTGCACGTATTGCTCCATCAGAGCCCAATACGGGGTCGATGAGGGTATTTGCAGCAAGGGCGGTCGGCAACGATCTGTGTTTTGTGAGGCATGAACAATCAATCGTTTAATCTTTTCATTCGCATTTGGTTTCCGAGTATGAGTATTCATGATTTCCCCTTGTACTAGTGGAAAAGCAATAGTGACCCAGGAGCCTCAGTAGACAAGAGCCCCTTTGTCCGCAAATGGGGATCATACGTGCAGTGACAGCACATAGAGCAGTGCCCTGAGAGCACATCCTGACATCTGGCCTTTTTTACCATCTCGAATCAAACAAATACCAACAACTTCAAAGTCGTTAACTTCTACCTTGATTGACGTCAACTTTGAATCGCCCACACGGAACGTGGTAACACATAAAACGCTCCACATGGAAGTCACAACCCATAACACATGCGTCGCGAGGAGCTCCACACTTGATGAAGGACTTTAACGCTCCGGCTCAGAGTGTTCTGGATTTCTTCGTGTTCCCGCGCTCCAACGTAAAACACAAATCCTCTGCCGGGCGCATCACTGCGCCGTTCTATTCATCGTTTGAACTCTGAACTGGCATATGTGCTAAGTGCCCAAATCTGGTTCGTCTATAACGAGGACGATATTTTGTGAAAGCGTGACCGTCACACTCGTATGATACACGGGCCGTATCTCTTATGTCACTGATACAGGCAAGGTGTAGGTCTCGCGCTGGTATATGAGTTATCACGCATTCCCAGACTCATCACCAATCTTCTACGGTTGGGGTGGCTAGCCACGTGTTGCTGTTCTCTCCGGGGACAAACGTAGCGCAGCGGTTGCGTGAGTCACACGCAGCTCCATAACTCTCACGCCGTGAGGGTCACGGCGTGAGCATAGCGTAGCGTGAATTGAGCGGTGATGGACGGTCCACTATTGCGACTATAATCCTACGAATCTAACTTGCGAGTAACAGACCGTCTGAGTTTCCGCACCTCTGGTCACCAGAGTCTGGTGTGCCATCTCGCTTCTTCTGGTAGTTGTGAGTATGTTTTACGGTGACCATAGCCCATATGCGAGGAAGTCTTCCCACACCCGCATCGGTGGCGATTGCACCAGCCCATTGCCTTCTTCTAATGAAACCTTTCCCTTTCATCATTTCATGGAGAACCGCTCTGGCGTGTTATGGTATTAATCGCATCAGCTCTGAACAGCGAAGGTTATTTATTCGGAAGTCCCTATTGAATAATATGACCGCCCTCCGAATGTTCATATTTGCTGCTGTGCCTGTGGGTATAATGATTCAAGCGACGAATGGTAGAGACCATGCTCAAGAGAATGGTAAAATTCTCGTACGATTGGTCACGAGTTGTGATTTACAACATCGTTCACGAGCCATCGCTGGCTAGAGAGATGATTTCATGGGAGCCGTATTCTTCACGAATTTCTCAGGCGTGTCATCGCAGCATTTCAAGGAAAACATCACGGTTCAGTCGGGCCCCTTGTGCCGTTCAAGTATCGGAAAGCAGCACTCTGGATATGTGCAAGTGGGTGGATCGAACAGGTTGGTGCCGCTTGTCTACGCTTTTTTTGAAGACAGCCTCTGCAGATACTTTTACGTGGCTATTGAGGCCGATGTGCACCCTAGCAAGGCCCCCACTTTCGTATACATCAGCGGTGGCCCGGGTGATAGCAGTATCGCTTGCGTCATGGGGCTCAATGGACCATGCCTTTCGGATCCGACTGGGACCAAACAGCTGCCAAACCCGTTAGGCGAAACAACACACATATTGTGGCCATACATAACGCGTATATATAGGCTGTTGTTCAGTTACTCGTGGACTCAGCATGCTAACGGTATTTGGGTCGATGCACCAGGGCCAACTGGATTCAGCCTGGGACCTGTCGAGTCAAGCTTGGAAAACGCTGTAGCCAACTTGTGAGTTGCTCTTACGACATGATTTCTCCGAGCATCTTTCTCCCCTGCATTCAGGATGATATTCTTGACCGAGTTCTTCAAGATCCATGGGAACTTTAATAGAGATTACCATCTCGTCGGAGTGTCAGCATCTGGTATTGTCTTGACTAGCATACTGAGCGCCTATGCCTATCCTCGTAGCCTCCTTTGTCGTCATGTTGGGTACGCAGATTATCAAGAACCAGGAGCTGAAGGCGAATTTCAGGGGTGTTATGGCTTTATCTGGCGAAATCGGCCCATCTGCTGTGTAAGGCTCTCCCTCCCAATATAAATATTCCCCTTTTCAGCTACCAAGGATGCGTGGATATGGCATCTCAGCGCAGTCTGGTGCCTCAGGATATGTGAGTCTCTCTGCTTCTTCCATTTGCTCATCATGCGTTCCTAGATTGAATAAAATGCAATCGGATATGAAGCTCTGTCAAGCGGCACTCGCCGATTGCAACTCCAATGGTCCTGGGAAGCCTGCAGAGAAAGGTGGGTGGCTCGGGATGTGCCGTTTCTGTTGATCATAGTTTCTCAGATAAGTGTCTGAAGGCCGCGACGTTGTGTGATACTGGTACTACTTTCCAACTGGAAAAGATTCATAGAAGCATGTGAGGATCGTCGATGTTGCTAACTCGACTGATGAATTTTCGAACACCCTGGTGGTATTACCACCTACGGTGTAGCCGTTACCCGTTACCATGTCTTGGCGTACTATTTTACTCTCGACGAGAGTCTCTCGCTTTAGATGCGATGTGCGCACCAAAGCCGGCCGTGAATACAAGTTCTACAAGTTCAATCCTGGAGATGTAGACGCGCCGCTGATTCAATTGACTATCACTTTTAATTTTTGATGGCCACATAGGGGAGAATCGACCTGCATTTTACTCGGACTCCCACTTCTCGTTTGCCCCAGAAGAGGTTGAGAATTATGTTATTGATTTCAGGCAGAGAAGCTTCTGAACAGCAAAAGTGTTCAGGAGGAGCTGGGAGTTGCAAAGATCTTTAGGAGGATGAACTATGAAGTCTGTTGTCGCATCCCGCATCTAGTGCGGAGAGTTGTCGTCATTCTATAGTATTCAGGTATTCGAAGCTTTCATACCCTACTCGGCTTATGATACAACATACTTCGTGAATGAACTACTAGATCAAGGAATAAAGGTGAGGCCTCTGTGATTCATGGCATAAGTGGCTTCTATCGCTGATCATAGGATAAGACGTACAATTAGTCGTACATCCCACTGTGGGATTCCCACAGTGTGAATCAGGTATTAATCCTCAATGGCGCTGAGGACTTCGTGACTAACTACGGCGGTACAGAGAAATGGGTCTTCTCCTTGAAAGGTGAAATCAATTACGGTTTGAAGCTCGCCTCGTCCCCCCTTCGGACTCTCCAGGTGAGCCATCTCAGGCTCAATGTTCATTATGCGCTTTGAGACTTGCCATCTCGTAGTATCCTGGAGTTGGCGTCTTTGGAAAGTACTATCGCTACTCGTTCGCTAATGGAGCACACCTTGCAGTTATTAAGGTATGTCGAATTCAATTCATTTGGAAGATTGAGGAGGACACCCCCAGCGCCGTTACTCGCTGCAAAGCTGAATTTATGATTTCAGGTGATCAACTCGGGACATTACATGGTCTTAAACGCGCCAGGAGGAATGCAGCGGGCATTCAATTCCTTCCTCTCTGGTGAACTCTGGGAAGGATGATCAACATCCATCTCGATGTCCAAGGCCCTTTATCGTACTTTGGTACAGTTGTATCCAGCTGATCTATCTCTCTTCATAACACAGATCATATAGCTGTGATCATGCGACTCGTTCAGAACGAGCGTAGATAAATTATTTTTTGTCGATAAAAGAACGAGACGTTCTTACTTATTCCAAAGCCGATTTCCGATCGAAACTTGTGTTGCTTGTCAGTTTTGGTCACGAGGTTATTGGTACACTCGATTAGAAGACTCCTCTAAGAAAAGTGAAGAAAGAAACCGTCCCTGTAATTTGGACTCATCTGAATGTCAGTAACGCTGCGTTACTAACGCATTAAGTGATGCGTGTATACTAAACCGTTCAAGCCAGATATGTAAGCTTGTGGCATGCATGCGGTAGTGAGTCTCGCCCGCCAGGGTATTGATAACGTCGCTCGCCTGTAACGGCTGACCGTTTCATAAGATGTGGCTCGCTGACTGGAGCTAATTACTCTTGAATGATAGATTTCATTTGCACTAACTCCTGGTGCATTGTGTTTCCCATATGGTCAACGGTAACTCTCCCACAACACAACAAGCTACGTATCACTCACGCCGTATACGGATGTGAGCTTGCAGCATGGTAAAAGTGGGAAATATCTCACTTAGTAGGGGGCCCTCATCTAGCAAGATCAACTGAATGAGGGCCTTGTTATAAGGCTAATTAGATGACTAGAACATTGTCTTGAGACCGGTCTGGGCAACAGGCTATCTGAAGGAACTCTCGCAGATCTCCTGAAATGAGCTGTTGCGACCCTCAGCAACTGAAGTAACGACGTTACTGAACAGATTCCAGCAAAGTCTCTCCTCGTCGGATCTATCCCTTGGCGATTGGGATTGCAGACGTTATAGCGGAATAGTCACTCAACAACACAACGAGACCCTGAACAACGAGATCTTGCGTTGTTGGTCACTGTTGCAAATAGCGTGCGCCCAAGCAATCTATTGGATTTGACGCCATCCACAAGGCTGTCTCGTGTTCCAGTTCAGTTGGTGGAGAACCCGTTGCTTCTACGATTCAGGTAAGTTCTTGGGATGGCTACTGATCCTCCTCGCATTGCATTAGCGTGCGCCCAAGCAATCTATTGGATTTGACGCCATCCACAAGGCTGTCTCGTGTTCCAGTTCAGTCACACAACTATAGGGTAAATGACATTTACTAGAGTACGTTTGCAACGGCCGTCCGTTCTTCAGGTGTTCATTCATCAACGTGACGCACTTTCCGAGTTTTCCATTATAACCTCTTTTCTGGGAAGTAGGTTCCTGAATTAGCAATTCGGCAGGGTGGTCAATCAAGAGGAACTACTGAGATCGCGAAGGCTGGTTCGTGCCACGGACTCCGCGGGGAAAGAAAAGTATATTGTATATTGATAGTGAAGGAGGACTACGACGATGAAGTCTATCTTCCACAATTACGTAGGGAAATGGAAACCACCACAACTTTCCACCACAATCTTTCCGACCCGGAACTGCACATGCAAAATTTGAACGACGCTCAGCGATGGCTCCAGAGTAGGCATTCCAGTTGACAGCCTTCGAACGCGTCAGTGATGGCCCTTTCTTTCTAACAGTGACTATACTGGTGCGAACACTACCACTTCGTCGTTATCTTCGCGCAAAGAAAGGAGATCCTTTTCGCGCAAGGGTCGGTTGAAGAGCTGCCATCGGAGCACGATGGCCCATCGAGAAAGATTCAAGTCCATCATGCGCTTCCACACACATAGGGATATATTGTATGAGCTATACTTGGGGAAGATGGTTAATTTGTTTATCTTAGCTAACTGCACGTAAATGGCTCACTTCAGACCCTTCGTCATTTCATAGATCACTGAGAGGCATGGCGTTCGAAGAGGTGAGTGCTGCACTGTGCAGCTTCGTAGGACCCATTGTATATCATTATTGCCGGGTTCTCAGAACCCGGTTCTCAAAAAGTGTGTCAGGCCGTTCCTCGTGTTGATTGGTTGCATAATCCTCGCACTCCTCGGTGAGGAGTCCTCACTACGGTAACCTTAGTGAGCAATCATATACGCCCAACCGTAGTACGGTTGGGCGTATATGATTGCGTAATGACATTCTTTCCAGACCTCAGCTCCCTCGCTCGAGCTAAGGCGGAGTGTATTGTGTGAGAGTTATCAAAAAGTGTTAATCAGCGTCTGATAATCAGACTCTGATTATCAGACTGACAGTGTGTGACTATTCCTAATATTCTCTAGTTTTCTTGGATTTCCAGCTGGTGTTCGCACAGTGAGTTAGTGTAAGATCCTGTCATCAGTAGGGCGCTTATAGTCTCGGTTGGTGTGTCGGGTGGGATTGCTCGTCTCATGCTAAGGCTATAGAGGTGTCAAAAATTTGAACCTGCCATCGATGTTCCGAGAACATTGTTCCCTCAACATACGATTTAGACTGCGGATCGTATAATAGAGGCACATCAATGTCAGATGACGAAGCAGCTTTAGCGCATGCGATCCGCAAAGCCGCCAAGCCTATTAAACTTGATAACTAATGCTGTTGGTGTACTTCAATGGATTTAGAACTTGAAAGGGGAGGAAAGTTGCGTGAAGAAGCTACAGACAGCCCCTGTTAGCAATCTGAAGGCTGGTGTTCTTCGGGAAAGTATGGTCCCGCTCGCATTTCTCTCTTGCCTACCATAGCACGATACCGGTGAAGCTTTCGGCAAGCTTTGAGCCCTGAAGTACTCAAATGAAGCAAAGCTCACGCTCATGGAGGCATAATCCCCCGACTCGCCTCCTCGTAGAAGGGGTCGCTCCAAACATGTGAGTCTCATGTCGTGAGGTCATGGGTTTATCAGTCGTATTTCTTAGATACCGAATGCAGGCCATAATGTTATGATAGATGTCTTTCATTATAACATTATGGCCCGAGTGGCTCATTGAGCCAAATCGAGATGGTTATTAGTGTTGAGTCCAAGTGCGATGAGTTCTTATGCCGCTCTGTAAACGATGCTTTTTTCGAAGACGACAGTCTCACAGCCAAGACTGGTAAATACAGGCAGTTCCGACGTGCTCAGTCTCAACTATGGGCTCAGTATGTTGAGATCCAACGTACTCCGATTGCGTCAAACTTTAATCTCTGAACCCGTCTCCGGTCCGTTTTCAACTTGGCTGGAATGTCCCATGTCACAGTGATATGACCTTTTTCAGGTGAAAAACCTTCAGCTAGCAGCGAATCCCACATGTGAGCAACAAGGATGGGGTACTGCAAAGGAACTCTGTAGATAAGGAGCTGTCGAAGCTGTCTCTTGAAGGAGAGATTGAAGCTCTGCGAACCCAGGTACAGTACCGATGCACTTGTTCATCACAGCATGCAACGGTGCCCACGTGACTTGACAGTTGAAACGTGCAAGCTGCTATCCCTGGTGGTCCCAGACCACGGGTCTGTGAGGAATATCTTTTTCTAGAACGCACTCAGTTTGAGGCTTCAGCGTCTCAGCTTTGAGTTTTTTGTTGAGGCTGTTTAGGAGTAGCGCGGCTGCACTTTCCGAGTGCTTCGTCTGAGCTTCATAATCTTCCACTTAGAGAGAGGCCCTCGAACAAGAGCTCCGTCTCGCGAAGGATACGATTAGAGATCATCTCGACGATGGCAGAGCCGCTCCTCGGTGAAAGAGAAGGTTCGGCGACCTCTGACGAATCCTGCACGTATTGCTCTATCAGAGTCCAATACGGGGTCGATGAGGGTATTTGCAGCAAGGGCGGTCGGCAACGATCTGTGTTTTGCGAGGCATGAACAATCAATCGTTTGATCTTTTCATTCGCATTTGGTTTCCGAGTATGAGTATTCATGGTTTCCCCTTGTACTAGTGGAAGAGCAATAGTGACCCAGTAGCCTCAGTAGACAAGAGCCCCTTTGTCCGCAAATGGGGATCATACGTGCAGTGACAGCACATAGAGCAGTGCCCTGAGAGCACATTCTGATATCTGGCCTTTTTTACCATCTCGAATCAAACAAATATCAACAACTTCAAAGTCGTTAACTTCTACCTTGATTGACGTCAACTTTGAATCGCCCACACGGAACGTGGTAACACATAAAACGCTCCACATGGAAGTCACAACCCATAACACATGCGTCGCGAGGAGCTCCACACTTGATGAAGGACTTTAACGCTCCGGCTCAGAGTGTTCTGGATTTCTTCGTGTTCCCGCGCTCCAACGTAAAACACAAATCCTCTGCCGGGCGTATCACTGCGCCGTTCTATTCATCGTTTGAACTCTGAACTGGCATATGTGCTAAGTGCTCAAATCTGGTTCGTCTATAACGAGGACGATATTTTTATAGTGAAAGCGTGACCGTCACACTCGTATGATACACGGGCCGTATCTCTTATGTCACTGATACAGGCAAGGTGTAGGTCTCGCGCTGGTATATGAGTTATCACGCATTCCCAGAGTCATCACCAATGTTCCACGCTTGGGGTGGCTAGCCACGTGTTGCTGTTCTCTCCGGGGACAACGTAGCGCAGCGGTTGCGTGAGTCACACGCAGCTCCATAACTCTCACGCCGTGAGGGTCACGGCGTGAGCATAGCGTAGCGTGAATTGAGCGGTGATGGACGGTCCACTATTGCGACTATAATCCTACGAATCTAACTTGCGAGTAACAGACCGTCTGAGTTTCCGCACCTCTGGTCACCAGAGTCTGGTGTGCCATTTCGCTTCTTCTGGTAGTTGTGAGTGTGTTTTACGGTGACCATAGTCCATATGCGAGGAAGTCTTCCCACACCCGCATCGGTGGCGATTGCACCAGCCCATTGCCTACTTCTAATGAAACCTTTCCCTTTCATCATCTCATAGAGAACCGCTCTCGCGTGTTATTGTATTAATCGCATCAGCTCTGAACAGCGAAGATTATTTATTCGGAAGTCCCTATTGAATAATATGACCGCCCTCCGAATGTTCATATTTGCTGCTGTGACTCTGGGTATAATGATTCAAGCGACGAATGGTAGAGACCATGCTCAAGAGAATGGTAAGATTCTCGTACGATTGGTCACGAGTTGTGATTTACAACATCGTTCACGAGCCAATGCTGGCTAGAAAGATGATTTCATGGGAGCCGTATTCTTCACGAATTTCTCAGGCGTGTCATCGCAGCATTTCAAGGAAAACATCACGGTTCAGTCGGGCCCCTTGTGCCGTTCAAGTTTCGGAAAGCAGCACTCTGGATATGTGCAAGTGAATGGATCGAACAGGTTGGTGCCGCTTGTCTACGCCTTTCTTAAAGACAACCTCTGCAGATACTTTTACGTGGCTATTGAGGCCGATGTGCACCCTAGCAAGGCCCCCACTTTCGTATACCTCGGCGGTGACCCGGGTGATAGCAGTATCGGTTACGCCATGGGGCTCAATGGACCATGCCATGCGGATCCGACTGGGACCAAACAGCTGCCAAACCCGTTAGGCGAAACAACACGCATCTTGTGGCCATACATATCGTGTATATATAGGCTGTTGTTCAGTTACTCGTGGACTCAGCATGCTAACGGTATTTGGGTCGATGCACCAGGGCCAACTGGATTCAGCCTGGGACCTTTAGAATTACACTTGGAAAACGCTGTAGCCAACTTGTGAGTTGCTCTTACGACATGATTTCTCCGAGCATCTTTCTCCCCTGCATGCAGGATGATATTCTTGACCGAGTTCTTCAAGATCCATGGGCACTTTAATAGAGATTACCATCTCGTCGGAGTGTCACTATCTGGTATTGTCTTTACTAGCATACTGAGGGCCTATGCTTATCCTTGTAGCCCCCTTTGTCGTCATGTTGGGTGCGCAGATTACCAAGAACCAGGAGCTGAAGGCGAATTTCAGGGGTGTTATGATCTTTTCTGGTGCAATCGACCCGTCTGCTGTGTAAGGCTCTCCCTCCTAATATAAATATTCCTCTTTTCAGCAACCAGGGATGCGTGGATATGGCATCTCAGCGCAGTCTGGTGCCTCAGGATATGTGAGTCTCTCTGCTTCTTTCACTTGCTCATCATGCATTCCTAGATTAAATAAAATGCAATCGGATATGAAGGTCTGTCAAGCGGCACTCGCCGATTGCAACTCCAATGGTCCTGGGAAGCCTTCCAAAGAAGGTGGGTGGCTCGGGATGTGCTGTTTCTGTTGATCATAGCTTCTCAGATAAGTGTTTTAAGGCCGCGTTGTGGTGTGATGATGCTACTGCTTTCCAACTGGATGAGATTCATAGAAGCGTGTGAGGATCGTCGATGTTGCTAACTCGACTGATGAATTTCCGAACACCCTGGTGGTATTACCACCTACGGTGTAGCCGTTACCCTTAACCATGTCTTGGCGTACTATTTTACTCT